TTAATGTTATAACATAGTTATTAATGATAGCTGTAGATAAGTTTATTTAAAGTGGCTACAGAAATATTTACCCCAGTATATATATATATATATATATATATATATATATAACGAGTTAGACCAAGTAAAAGTTTAGACAAGGTAGCTGAGATCACATCAAGTAATGTAGACAAATAGCCAGTTGAACCTCTTGTTTATCACTTTATTGTTTTTGTTTGTTTGTTTCTTTTTTTTGTTTATTTTTAAATCAACCGTTTGAAACTTTTTATCTCTCCCTTCTTTTTAAGGAGAGAGAGAGAACTGAAGGTTGTGGAATCTTTGCTGACGAGGCCTATGGGGCTTTCTTTTCTTACTTGCCCTTCTTGAATGTATATCCAATTTGTATTTATAATCGCTGGCTGAACAACTTGCAAGATAAACAAAGAATAGGGAAGGCCAGGTGCATCGAATCCGATACATAAAAGGAGATGCACTTGGTTTAATATTCATTGTCGGATAAACAGTTAGTGGCTTCCTAGAGACCTAGACTAAATATGCAGGCATGTCATTACATGACACTTCTTTTAGGTACTGTGTGTTACAAAAGAACAGAACGATTGTGTGTCTAACCAACCAAAAATGGATCGTGATATCCCCCACCCCCCCCAAAAAAAAAAGATCATGATCATTTATATTATTCAAAAATAAAATAAAATTGTGTATGGTAGTGAGTATGATAATAAACAAACGGTACTTAAAGAAGGATTAAATTGAATTTAAATCTTAAAAGATTAGTCAGATAATGTCTTGTTTTTTTTTTTTAAAATGAATCCTAATTAATACCGAAAATGAGTACCCAAACATTTATTTACCACTAATTATTAGTAATAAATTTAAATATTTATTATAAAATTAACAATCAATAAGCATTTGACATATTGACTTTAATGCAGTTCCCCTAACAGTAACATTATAATTCTCTTAATTTTTTTTATTAAATATGTTTTTGGTAGTGAGCCAAAGTGATTAAAAAAGGGAACAGTGACCAAAGTGTCATTATTGGCCAAAAAAATTACCAGACTGTCACGCTAACAGTAAATTTTGTCAAAATGACACGTGGCATATTTCGCTACACTGTGTGTAGCGAAATATGCCTGCAAATGATTCGCTACATAGTATAGCGAAATATGCCACGTCAGACTGCTCAGAACCAAAAATTCCATGTGTCAAAATTGAAGAAATTCACTACATAGGGTAGCGAATTTCTACAATTTTGACACGTGGCATTTTTGGTTCTGACGTGGCATATTTCGCTACACTGTGTAGCGAATTATTTGCACACATATTTTGCTATACAGTGTAGCGAAATATGCCACATAGCATTTTGACAAAATTTACTGTCGGCGTGGCAGTCTTGTAATTTTTTTGACGAACAGTGACAAAATGATCACTGTTCCTTAAAAAAGGCCATCTAATTGGGCCGAAGAAGATAGTAATTTAAGTTTTAAAGAGTGGATCCATTTACTAAGATAGCCCAGCCCAACCCACAAAATATGCAAAACCCTAAACCCCTCTTGCTAGGGTATATTTATGCCATTAGCGAGCCTCTTTCATTTCCATCGCCTGCTTCAACCTCAAGATCACGCCAAGGTACTCATTTTTCAATCTCTCCTCCATTTTTAGCTGTTGTAATTTTCTGACCCTGCACATTTCGAAGACTCGTATGCGCTCTATTGTAGCCTACGAGTTCAAAGCGTGTGCGAAATCGTGTATCATCCTATCTTACAATCATATCCTCTTGATTTGCATATCTTGAGGATTTTATGCAGAATGATGAACATTCTCTAATTAAACCTGTTATTGCATTGTTGTTATGACATGCTTGGCATTGTTTAGGGTTTAATATCTTTTAATTTGGATTCTTTTTTTGCCTTCGTAAAGGGAACACTGTTTGCAAGTGAAACTTGTTTCCGTGATAATTTTATTTAATACTTGTTGTGCTTATGGACGGTCTTGTGCTGACTAGTTATTCCGTCAGCACATAACATAAACCTAAGCTACATCTAATGTTGCCACCTTGAATTTCTTTTTGTGTCTTCCAATGGTTTATATGGGAAGAACACTTCTTCATTGTGGCAAATATTGTAATTCCTTCTCATATTTTTAGTACAGAAACTTTTTAGAACTCCATGTTAGGCATTTTGAATTTGAAGCATTTTTGTATTTTCTAATCTAGTGTTTTTTTTTTTTTATGAAGATATGGCTGTGCCGCCTGCTTTTCAGAAATAATCAAGTAGTTCTATGGTTGCTGTCATACTTGTTTTATTATTAATACTTCATCGTGATATTTTGCAATGTTTCCTGTTTAGGAACTAGGTGATTTAGTTGTAGCGAGACAAAGTGGTGATCAAGATGTCAAATCCAAAAGTTTTCTTTGATATTTTAATTGGAAAGATGAAAGCTGGGCGAGTAGTAATGGAGTTGTTTGCTGATGTCACTCCAAAAATGGCTGAAAAATTGAGGGCTCTCTTCACTGGAGAAAAGGGGATTGGAAAATCTGGGAAACCTTTACAATACAAGGGATCCTCATTTCATCGTATCATTCCAGAGTTTATGTGTCAGGCAGGTGATTTTACGGGAGGAAGAACATATCTACACCAAATTTCGCAATGACATTGATGCGATCCATAGGAAAATTGAAAGTGTTGATTTTGAATTAAATCAAAATAGTACTAGGATCAAATTGTGCGTGAGGACTTTAATGATTGGCTTACCTCTACTGAGAATATGATGAATGGATTCTCGCCTCCGATTTGAACACCAATTTTGATTTAGTTGAGCAACAATTTAAGGAACTTGCAAAAATAAAATAAAAAATGAACCAGATGTGGGTGAGGAAGTCAAAAATAAAAAAGTATGGATAGCATCAATGTTATTGTGAAATTTGGTGTAGATATGTTCTTCCTCTTGTGCCACCGTGTGACACATTGACGAGAGAACTGGAGGATAGTCAATTTAAGGGTCCATGTTTTCAGATGAGAATTTCAAGCTGAAGCATACTTGCCCTGGTATTCTTTCAATGGCAAATGCTGGACCTGATACAAATGGTTCTCAGTTCTTCATATTTACTGCGATGGCTTGATGGAAAACATGTTGTGTTTGGAAAAGTTGTTGATGGATACAGTGTAGTGAAGGAGATGGAGAAGGAAGGGTGGGTTCAGGAAGACATTACGGGTAGTGATAGAAGATTGGGGGCAGATAGCAGAGAACTGAAAATTATTGTTGGCAGACCGAAGTGAACTGAATTGGAGCAAGGATTGTTCGTGTGATGTTTTAATCTATATTACTGTTCAATGTAAATTATTACTTAAAAAATTATAATCAGTGATTTATGTATTAGAAGTCAATTTTTGGTATCCGATATTAATGTAATTCCCAATTCTTCACTCCTTTGTAATAAGGAATGCGATCCTGAGTTCCTGAAGCCTTTACCCTCATATGCCCTTTGGGTTGGGAAAATGTTGATGTTGTTCGAACTTCTAAGACTGGTGTGTTCTTTTGTTAATAAATTGCTACCTGCTTTTTTCCCTGCAAATATCTTGTAATATCAACTGGTGAAGACTTTGTTTTCACAGGCGGTAGGTATGTATGGTGCGGATAAAAGTTTGTCCTTTGTGATATTTGTTCAGACAAAGGTTTGAAATTTTGAACAGAAAATCAAACACTAGAAATAGTGGTATATGGATATATAATATCTTGGATTCTTGACCACCTAACAGGTAGCAGACATGTTCATAATATTTTAGTTGATTTACATAACTTATGAATAAACATTTAAGTGGAGGATGAAGCACTAACTTGAAGTGGTAAAGGGTGAAAGGAGAGTACACAGCTCAGAAGCCTCATATCACCGTAACTTACAGACATCCATGAAAAGAAGAAAAAAAGTCACAGGATTTATAGTCGTAATGCTAAAATTTCGGTCTTGTGATTTAATTTTTCATCAAAGCTACAGTTCTGCGTGCATCCCTTGATCAAGATATAATTTTTGTTGGTAAAGACTAAAGATAAATTTTGTTTAACGAGACAAAAAACACAATGAAGGTCAAGGGAAAAATTTTTTATTTTTATTTTTGAAGTTAATTCAATCCTAATTATCTCTTTAAAACGAATTGATTCCCTCAGCATGTCCGTATAAGTTTCAATTCTTTGAGTTGGTTACGAGAATAATCTGAAGTGCCGGACGAAATTGGCCAAAAATGATATGCGGGAATGGAACCAATACCATTTTTTTTGACTTACTGAGCTCTGTTACTAGCAACAGCTATACCATTTGATCTTCAAGGGAAAACTTGACTAATGTGTTTGAGCGAGAATGGCAGTGATACTTGTGAAAAAAACATTTGCAAGATTTGTGAATCCAACGGTGTCGTAGTTGTGCTTGCAAGACTGGATTGAGTTTTTGCTTTTTTTGAAAGAAAAAAATATCACACATACATATAGCCAAGCTTAAAAGATCAACATCATTCAATTACCCTATATACCACCGATACTGACACGGGACACATGACACGACACTTCGACATATTAATTCTAAAAAATGTTAGATTTCGACACGTTAGGACACGTTTTGATATTAAATAATTTTTTTAATTTATGTAGTGTATATTATATTTAATATTCAATAATTTAACAAAAAAATGAAACTAAACTTATAATATTCATCAATTTTGCAAAGAAACATAAGATATCCCAAATATTTATATTAAACTCAATAAAATGGTAATCGTAATACAACGAATCTAATAATTGAAACTAAAGACTCAACGCAACATATCCTTTGAACATTTTTTTGAATTTCTATAACGCGTGTTGAAGTATCGACATGGAACGTCAAAGGAAGTGTGGTGCGCAGCAATTACCAATAATAACTAGGAAATGGGCCCAAGGCCTTCTGGTGCATTCTGACCCGATTAATCAAGCTGGTAGTTTGCCCTCTCTCCTATTGGGAAACCCCTACTCCTTCTGCTTGCTTCGTCTCTCTCACTCTTTCATCAACGAGTCCACTCGCCCAGCCAGCCTCGACAGACAGTTAACTAGGATAGGAATAACACACACTACTTTGGAGTTTGGAGCCCCCCCATCTATTTTCTTCTCTTCAGAATACTCTCAATTTCACTTCCACCACAATTCAACAAAAAAATAAAAATAAAAATGGTGGACGAAAGTTCTGACAGCGACACCCGGAAAATTCGGAACATATGCATACTTGCACACGTGGACCACGGCAAGACGACGCTGGCGGACCACCTGATCGCGGCGGGGGGTGGCGGTTTTGTCCACCCGAAGCTTGCGGGTCGGGTTAGGTTCATGGACTACTTAGACGAAGAACAACGAAGGGCCATCACGATGAAGAGTTCTTCGATTTCCCTTTCCTATAAGGACTACTCTATCAACCTTATTGACTCACCAGGCCACATGGACTTCTGCAGTGAGGTCTCCACCGCCGCCCGCCTCAGCGACGGCGCCCTCGTCCTCGTCGACGCCGTCGAAGGCGTCCACATCCAGACCCACGCCGTGCTCCGTCAATGCTGGATCGAGCGTCTCTCACCTTGCTTGGTCCTCAACAAGATCGACCGTTTGATCACCGAATTGAAATTGAGCCCCTCCGAAGCCTATACTCGCTTGTTGAGGATCGTCCATGAGGTTAACGGCATTGTTAGCGCGTACAAGTCGGAGAAATACTTGTCCGACGTGGATTCTCTCCTCGCTGGTGCTGCCGCCGGCACCGGCGAGGTTCCGGAGGATTATTATGATGATGATAATGAGGATGTGTTTCAGCCTCAGAGAGGGAATGTGGTTTTTGCTTGTGCATTGGATGGTTGGGGTTTTGGGATTCATGAGTTTGCTGAAATATATGCTTCTAAGATTGGTGCGAGTGTTAATTCCTTGCAGAAAGCTTTGTGGGGTTCTAGGTATTTCAATCCCAAGACCAAGATGATTGTTGGGAAGAAAGAGAATGGAGCTGGTGGTGGTGGTGGTAAGAAGCCTATGTTTGTTCAGTTTGTGTTAGAGCCGCTTTGGCAGGTTTATAAGGGAGCTCTAGAAGGGGATAAAGTGTTGCTTGACAAAGTTATTAGGTCCTTTAGTTTGTCAATTCCGGCGCGAGAATTGCAAGATAAGGATGCTAAACGAGTGCTTCAGGCAGTTATGAGCCGTTGGCTTCCTCTTTCGGATACTATCTTGTCCATGGTGGTTAAGTGTATGCCGGATCCTGTTGTGGCACAGTCGTATCGCATCTCGCGGCTGCTTCCTAAGTGTGAGGTTGTTGTTGAGGATGGGGTTGATAGGAGAGTGGCGGAAGAGGCTGAGTTTGTGAGGAAATCGGTGGAGGGGTGTGATGGGAGGAATGAAGCTCCTTGTGTTGCTTTTGTGTCAAAAATGTTTGCTGTCCCAGTTAAAATGCTTCCTCATCCTATCAGCGATGAAGGAGAGGGTGAGTCGGATGAATGTTTTTTGGCATTTGCTAGGATCTTTAGTGGGGTTTTGTCTGTGGGGCAGAGAGTTTTTGTGCTTTCTGCGTTGTATGATCCGCTGAAAGGCGGGGAATCAATGCAAAAACATGTTCAGGAAGCTGAATTACAATCCATGTATCTAATGATGGGTCAAGGATTGAAAGTAGTGGCATCTGCCAAAGCAGGAAATGTTGTTGCTATCCGAGGCCTTGGCCAGCATATATTGAAAAGTGCTACTCTTTCTTCTACTAGGAACTGTTGGCCTTTTTCAAGTATGGCATTCCAAGTTGCCCCAACTTTGAGGGTTGCAATTGAGCCATCTGACCCTGCAGATGTGGGTGCACTACTGAAGGGTTTGAGGCTTCTGAATCGCGCCGATCCCTTTGTTGAGGTCACGGTTTCTGCAAGAGGAGAGCATGTACTTGCTGCAGCAGGCGAAGTTCATCTTGAAAGATGCATAAAGGATTTAAAGGAGAGGTTTGCAAAAGTAAGCTTGGAAGTCTCTCCGCCTCTTGTGTCCTACAAAGAGACCATTGAGGGAGAGGTGTCTAACATCCTGGAAAATTTGAAAGTTCTTAGTAGGAGCTCAGATTATGTTGAAAAATCAACACCCAATGGAAGATGTGTTGTCCGTGTGCAGGTGATAAAACTTCTACCTTCTATTACAAAGGTGCTCGATGAAAGCTCTGATTTACTTGGAGATATCATCGGAGTAAAATCGGGGCAGACTGTTAAAAGTTTGGAGACCCAAAGTCCAAATATTCTTAAAAATGATAATCCAGCTGAAGTGCTGAAGAAACGCATAATGGATGCAGTGGAGAGTGATATTTTGAGCAATGAGAATGACAAGGACCATGCTGAAAACTGCAAACTCAAGTGGCTAAAGCTTTTGAGGAGTATATGGGCACTTGGACCAAGGCAAATTGGTCCTAACGTTCTTTGTACTCCTGATATTAAAGCAGAAAGTACTGATAGCTCTGTTCTAATACGTGGTTGTTCTAATGTATCTGAAAGGTTGGGCTTTGTGACTGATTCTAATAACAGTAACTCAGTTGCTGAGACATCTTCAAACGCTAGCCAAGAGTTGTACATGGATGCTGAGCATCTTGAGAGTAGTGTTATATCGGGTTTCCAACTGGCCACTTCGGCTGGACCCTTGTGTGATGAACCTATGTGGGGTTTAGCGTTTGTTGTTGAGGCACATATATCTCCAATTACAGGGTCCTATGATGAATCTGAAACACACCAACACTCTGAGCAATATGGCATCATTGCAGGGCAGGTAATTGCAACTGTCAAAGATGCTTGTAGAGCAGCTGTGCTTCAGAATAAGCCACGACTTGTGGAAGCAATGTACTTTTGTGAATTGAATACCCCTACTGAATATTTGGGTCCGATGTATGCTGTACTTGCCCGAAGACGGGCCCGAGTTTTGAAGGAAGAGATGCAGGAAGGTTCCCCTTTCTTCACTGTGCATGCATATGTTCCTGTTTCTGAGAGCTTTGGTTTTGCAGATGAGCTTAGAAGGTGGACTTCTGGTGCTGCAAATGCACTACTTGTCCTTAGCCACTGGGAAGCACTTCCTGAGGATCCTTTCTTTGTACCTAAAACAGAAGAGGAAATTGAAGAGTTTGGAGATGGTTCTAGTGTTCTTCCAAATACAGCAAGAAAGTTAATTGATGCAGTCAGACGGCGTAAGGGCCTTCCTGTGGAGGAAAAGGTAGTACAGCATGGAACCAAGCAGAGGACACGGGCTCGTAAAGTGTGAAAATCATCATTTCTGTTGTGTCCTTGGCTGTGAAGAGAACATGTAATTGTTGAATGTGAGTGTAGCCTATAATTTATACACTGTATCATTAAGAACAAATTTTTCAGCATGAGTTTATTATATAGCATCACTAAAGTTTTGTCACATACAATCAAGTTCATTGATTTTTTAGTTACCTGCTATTGTTTAGACAATTTGTACAAAATAATTTGTCCTGGATAGTAGAGTAGTCTATCAAACAAACAACTTATAATTGGATGGCATAACTGACATCTAGCAATTCCAACACCCTAAAAATTTTAATGCTAAAGTAAAATCTTTCTCATTGGCTACTATAGTGAACACAGGAATAAGAAGTTTGTGATAGCTTCTGTCTACTAGTGAGATATTCTATCTATACTGATTTGTCCTTGTGTTCGTATTTGGGTCAATGATTTAATTATAATGTACACAAGTAAGAAAACTCTGGACACATGCTCAATAGTGGTGATCAACTTGCAATAGGTATGGAAACAGAAACGCGTCTAGGGATGAGCACTATCATGTATCCTTCTTCATCGCTGCTTTGTGAAAGTAAAGATGAACTGGCTGCTGTCTCCATTGATGAGCTCATTGAGAATGCTGATGGTTGTGAAATTCTAGTAGTTAAATGTAAAGTGGTAGGCATGGACTGGTAATTGTTAATGTACTTTTCTTGTTGATCTGAGAGTTGTTGATACAAAAATTCATTTATAATCTGAAAATGCTTTAATCTCATTTTGATTTTCTTCTGCTTTTACCACAGTTTACGTTGTTTTCTCTGTTAGCAGCTTGCTCTCAACGACTTTCATTCTCTTTTATGTCATTAGTTAATTTTGTTATTATTTTGCAGTTACCTTGTTGTGAACTTTTCTGTTTAAGTACATATGAGTTTCTATTCTTCTTTACAGAGCAGAAGGATCCAGGGGTAAATCATCAGATGATGGTGAACAACATATAGATGAGCTTTCTTTCACAGAATTAAGAGATAAGCTAATTGCCCTAGATCCTCTGAATACAAAGCACATCATCAAAGTCAATCAAGCTGAGGCTGAGTTCTGGCAGAAGTCAGAAGGGTATAGGGTTGGATGGAGTGATGAAATATTGGGCTTCGATTGTGGAGGTCAACAGTGGGTATCCGAGACATACTTCCCTGCTGGAAAACTGGCTAAGCCAAGCATGAAAGACCTTGAATATATTGAAGAGCTGAAGCAACTTATAGAGAAAGAAGAGATACCTGCACCTGCTCCAATTGAGCAGCGATGGATGATATTTTTTCTTGGGTAATATAATCCTGTCTTGGATTATTGAACATAATAGATCTAATAATAAATTCTTAATCTATATCAGGATGAACTGGTATTACGTGGGCGCATGAGCTTAGCACTGTCTTATTTGTTCTCTATTACTGCATTTGATGTCATATTCACACATTAATTTTAGTCATTGCATGTTAAAGTTTACATATTAATAATTTTATGTTTTCACTGTTTTAGTTGACAAAAATTGAAATGCATGAGCTTGTCATTTCTCTTATAATTGTTCAAAAAGTGTATTTAATTTCTTAGACATGGGGTGTTGGAATGGTTGAGTCTAAGTGCATGTTTCAATGAGCTTCTTCTTTTTCTTTTTCTTTTTTCTTTTTTTGCGTTTTGTATAAAGAAACTTTTGGGGGTGCAGGTGGGATTTAAAAATATCGGCAGCTTTTGGAAAAAGATGAAATGCCTTTTTGTTAAAAGCTAAAACTTCAGCTTCTCCAGACATGCATTTTTTTGTTGTTGTGTGTGTGTGGAGAAATATAACTTATTTGCTGGGAAAAATAAATATATACCCAATAGGCATTAAACCCCTTACTAGGCTTTACTTTTAGGCAACTGCTTATAGTATTTTTGTGTGTGTGGAGAAATATAACTTAATTGCTGGAAAAAAAAATACCCAATAGGCATTAAACCCCTTACTTGGCTTTACTTTTAGTCAACTGCTTATAGTATTGTCTTTCTTGACCTTTAATTTCAAGTTTGGAATCAATAAAAATATAACCCTTGCCTTCTATGAATTTTAACATTATAATGCTGTTCGGAAGATTTTGGTAGATAATTATACTTTTGATGGTGTTTTAGGTCGGTATAATCAAGTACCTCCCTACCATGGATGCTCGCCAGAGGAAGGATATAACGGAAGAATTCTTTCATTACAGGCATCTGACTTGGGCAAAATTATGGGATCCTTACTCTGCTTATGAACATTGGGCTAAGATTGAGGTAATTATGTAGGCATCATGAATAATAAATAATCCAACAGGGTATTTGGATATGATATACTAATTATTCTCATAATCTAAATCATATGATGTTTAGCCAAATTTCCTCATATATAATTACCAATATGATTTGTCCTACATAATATATTGGATCTGTTCCTACATAGGAAATGTTACGACTCATGTTATACCTTAGACACCTGGCAGTTAGTCAATTAGTAGTTGTGGGTAATTAATTTTATTGAGGGCTCTAACTACAGCTAAAGTGAACAGACAGAACACTCAAAGTTTTCATACGCTTAACTAGTTCAATGTTAATTCTAAAAGCTATGCTCCCTGATGACTTTGGACTGATTCTTCAACAGCACCTGCTCAACAGAGGGTTCATGGACTCCACTTTAGTTCATTCTTAATTGCCTTGTAGCTTGTGATGATAATGTTGGCAAGAAAAACCTGTTTGGTTAGTGAGAAAAGAATAGGAAAAGAGAAAGAAAAGTTTCTAAGTTTAATGTCAACAATGTGCACATTCAGAATAGTTAGAAAAGGAGGAAATTAGAAAGAGAGAGTGAGGTTTTGACTTTAATTACAAGGGTAAATAAGTAATTTAAAATCTTTTACCTCTTAAAACTCCCCAAATTGGGGAAACTTTAATTTTAAGAACAAGAAGGGTTTTGGAGGGTTTTATGAAAATCCTCAATTCCTTCCTCTCACTTTTTTAAACTCACAAACAAGAGAAGAGATTAATAAAATCCTTCTCTTCCTTTCATTTACCTCCTAAAACTAACTCCCAAACAAATCCTTAGGGTCCAACCCTAACACTTATCCTTGAAAACTAAGTACCATCTCAGGTGTTAAAAGGCTGATATCACCAAAGATTTCAATTGCAAAATGAAAGGAATGTATCTGAAGTACATTTAATTTCTGTGCATATTATCTGATATGTAGGTTCCAAAGGACAAGGAGGAGCTTGTGGAACTCCAAGCAAGGATAAGAAAGCGGTTTCCTATGGATGCATAAAACAAGGCAAGAATGGAACTGGATCCCAATAGGATCCTTTCAAATAACATGCTGGAAAAGCTGTTCCCACAATTAGATGCCATATAAAATTCAGGGTTGGTGGTTATTTGTCTGAACTTGTCTTTTTTCTTTTTATGTTGAGCATATCTTCAACCCTAAGTTCTTTAGTGCAGCTGCCACACATTTGGAACTTCGGGATGCAAAATATCTGGTGCACAATCAGGATTATTATACATAAATACATTCTTTTTGTTTCTTGCCTGCATGGGAGGATGTCTTGAACTCAAAGAAGCTTTAAGGATTGTGATGTAAACGTATTAAAGGAGCTCGATTGATCTTTCCATTCTGTTGTTACTCATCCCACCGGAAAGCGGAAGCATAAAGAAGGGGGAAAATCAAAGGAGAAATTCTGTTGCTGACATATTTGTATGAATTGCTCTCCCTTTAGGTATGAACTGTGTCCATCATCATGTTTGGTATTTTATGCATTCAATTTGGCAGGGCATTCCGCACTTCCAACCTGCTTTCCTAAGGGCTGGTTATGCTAGAGTTTACATTTTGAGGTTTTAATATTTATTGGATTAATGGATCGTAGTCTTGAAATATTCTTTTTGTCCTGAAAAAATTTGTTGCTAAATCCTTCAAAGGAAAGGAAAGTCAACGTCTCGATATTAGGACTAGTTCTGAATCTTCTGATCAACGGAAGGGGAAAAAAGGGGGGAAAATAAAAACATAAAAAAACGGCAGCAGTGTTCGCTAGAAAATTGCAGTTTCACTGCCTGTAAATATTATACAATTAAGACCAAACCGACTTCCAAATTTAATCATGAACATAAAAGAACAATGTAACTTGACCTGAACTTGAGGAAATAAAAATATTGGGACGACATGTTGCATAGATGGTGATATGCTCAAGACTCGGGGATAATACTTAAAAGCTAGACTTTCACTTTCACTAATTCATGGATGGTGATAGGATGGCAAAGACCAGGGATTGGTTGGCCATGATAGATGAATGTGGACAAGGCTAACCCACCAACAACCAACAACCAACAACGTTACGAAACTGAGGGAAAAAAGACAACTAAATGCATATAGTTATAATGTCGTCATGCCTCAATCATCACACTTCAAATTTCAGTCATGGCCCCATAAACATAACTTCATTGTCGAAAGCCACTATATGGTTTCATTGAACTATATCTATTTATAGAATTTTTAAGGATGATTATGTAAATTAGTATTGTTACTTTTACTGCTCCAGGAAGCCCGTTTGTCCCAAAGGAATAAAATTATAAAAATTAAAGTTGAATCTGGATGATGACTTCCTTCAGAAATTAATCAGTCAGTAGAAAATCAATCAGTCAGTCAGCAAGTCCAACCCTAATGTCCACAACAGCGCTCCACTGCAGAACATTGCCCTAATGTCGAAGCTTGTTTGTGTCTGTTGACTCAGAGTTCACACCATAGCCTCACCGTGCGGGAGACATGCATGCCAACTGAAGAAAGGAGAGACAGAGACAGAGATTTGGAAAATATTGACGTTGGGAGAAGACGTGTTACGACAGACAGACTTAATATAAGCAATGGTTGTTTTTAAAAAAATTTAAAGGGTTATTTTTGTCATTTCAACCTTTTTTTTCATTAATATTTTACCTTTAATCAAACATACATTCTGAAAATTTAAATAAATTTGCCTAATAATATTTCGGTCAACCAAATAACTTTTTAAAAAAAATTTATCTAACTTACCTTCCTATCATATTCCTAGTAATTGAGTTTCTCCGATAAAAAAAAATTTCATTCACCAAACACCATAAGGAAAATTTGTATATATATATATATATATATAGGGATAGGATCAACTTACACCGGTGTAAGAATAATAAATCTTACACCAAATCTTAACCGTTGATTTCCGTGCATCCAACGATTGAGATTTATTGAGAATTAAAAATTAATTAATGAGTAAGATCTAATAAATCTTAACCGTTAGATGAAGAAAATCAATTGTTAAGATTTGGTGTAAGACTTATTATTCTTACACCGGTGTAAAATGATCTTGCCCCATATATATATATATATATATATATATATATATATATATATATATATATATATATTGCTGTGGTAATTTCGATCTGGGTGTGGTAAAGTCTAAAGCCTTTTCAAAAATATTTCTCCAATAATTAAACTTTCGAATTAAGAGTTTAAATAGTCACTTTTTTAATCAGTGCGATTGGGATACTTTTATTATAGGGTTTTATAAGAGTTATGTTGTAGGAAAAGTGATTGTATAATGTTATAGAGATTCGTTTTGCGTGCCGTAATTTTCTTTTTTTTTTCTTTTTTCTTCTAAAAGTGTGAGCCCCATAAAATGTTGTATGTGTAAGAAAGTTTGTTGTGTCATGTTAAATGACAAATGAAAATCCCTTTATTATATTGTAAGTGTAACATACTCAATCTAACAAATTTAAAACATAAGTAGTATAAACATATATATGTTTTTAAATTAAGTTTAAAATAGTAATAATGAAATTTAGTTACTAATGAAAAATGAAATCTAAATTAAATTTAATCATTTTAAGTTATAATAATAATAAAATTTCTCTATAGTGTGAGATGGGTGTGGAAATGGGTCCCTCTTGATGAAAATATAGGACGCGGAAAGCGATTCCGATCAATGATCATCTTTCTTTGTGGAAATGGTATTTCCCAGATGAGCAAATTCTATCAATGTGGGCCGCGTAGAGTGATGGGCCTTGTCTGGACGGCTATGATGTTGGTTACGCGGGTCCCACAGTAGGCACCGCCCTAGGTCCCTGTCTCCCTAACCCTTGTTGCCTCTCGCTCGTCTCTTATACCCAAACATCACTTTCAAATCGTGCTTAGCAAAAGTAACTCTGAAACCTTAAAAATTGGTAAAGACCATGACCTTAACAGTAAAAAAGCACATGATTTTTCGACTAATTACGGGCAGTTCAATAATTATGTCCGCTACTGCTAATAAACTGCTTTGTTAAATAATTTGATTTCGTGAAATTACTAATAACTTTCGGAAAAGAACTTTAAACAGCATTAGTCTCATTAAATCATGAGAAAAGTTGTTTGCCCAGCAAAATTTACTTCACAGAACTCACAAGCATAATTCTCTTTTGTTTTACGTTATGTTCTTTAATTGAGAGAAGGTTTTCTTACGCGTAAAAAGCATAAAATTTAGTGATGGACTCATCCTCCTCCATTTGTATTTGTAAACATTTCATTAATGCGTAAACTACAACTTTAGAAAGATCTCATCTAAATATTCTTTCGCTATTGCATAAAGGGAAGAATAAACAAAGGGGAAACATTGACAACTGGACATGGGGTGTCATGGATATAACGTAAAGTGTCGGTGTCATGGATATAACTTTAGAAAGATCTCATCTAAATATTCTTTCGCTACCCGAGTAATTAAAAGACACCCCGTGTCTTTTAATTTCTGTCAGTGACATGGGGTGTCTGCCAATGAAGAGAATCTTGTAAAGTGATCACTCTCTCTCAACTCAAGTATTCAAGACTCTTGCACCACTATATATACCTGTCACCTTGATCAGCTCCTCGCCTCACTCACAATTACTCTTTGCATTGTCCAAATGGCCAGTGTTGAGGTAACTCAAAGATACACTTTCTCGAATTTGTTCTAAACTCTGGTTTCGTACATTACACTATTAGTCTGTGTAGTTTGTTCCTTCATTCATATGGTGGGATTGAACATCTTTGTGACCGAATATCATAAATATTTTTACTTTTCTTTTTTTTGTTTGTTGGGATGTTCATTCAACATCTTTAGAGCTATAATTAGAATATATATTTATATCTAAATTGAAATTGGATCTTGCAGGTTGCACAAGAAACAAGCACATTGAACGACAATGAAGCAACCAAAACAATCCCAGAAGAACAACCAGCCACTGAGGTTCCAGCCTCAGAACCAATAGCAACCGAACAACCAAAAGAAGCAACAATAACAACAACCGAAGTCCCGGTTACAGTGGAGACCAAGGAAGTGGTGACAGAGGAGCCAGCACCTGAGAAAACAGAGGAAAAGTCCGAAGAAGTTATTGAAAATCCAACAACTGAAGAGACAAAAACTATTGAAAAAGAATCAGAATCAGAAGCAGAAGCAGCAGTGGAGGATGAGGAGCCATATGAGGAGAACAAAGCAGCAAAGGAAGTCACCACTGTCGAAAACACTGAAGCTTAATTAGTCATGTGGTGAACTAAGTGAAAGCAACAAGTTTCTATGCCTTTGATTGATTGCATTATGTCTCCATCTCCAAGCATGTCAATGTTGAAAAGCTTCTCTCTCTGTTTCTGTTGTTTGTCAGTTTATTAATTACTACTATTATTATATACCTACGTGGAAGCACTTTGGTTCCACATCAATACCCATGGCAACTAGTTGTAGTTGATACGATACGAGAGATTTCTTGGTTTATTAGCTGGGAAGGCATGGGCAATACAGATGTCAGCATCTTTCATTTGTGATCACTAAAAGAATAATATCCTAAAGTATATTGTGTTTGCCTACAGTAGTCAAAAATGCCTCTTTTATGTACAAACACGATTAACTTTTCACGGTTTCCACATTTCCTAAGAATATTATTGGCTTATTTTCCACCAATAATGTTAACAAATTTCTTCCACATAAATCAGAGTCTTAAATTCCATGTATGATGTAAATACTTACAAAGCTACTACAGTTTGTTAAAAATCATTACTTTACCTTACCAAAAATTAGATTTTTCTCTTATTTATTTTTTTTTCCCTCAATTTTTTTAATATTTAAGTTTCCAACTAGTTTGGAATAAAGTGATGTTAGTCTTCACCTTGCCCGGACAAACCAGCTTGCAATTATCTAATATAATACTATTACATGGTGCCGCATTAAAGCTAGTAAATGATACATTTTGGTGGTTTAACAAATAACAGAGCAGGTAGGATAAACAAACTGACTTGGGTATGAAACAGATGATTACTCGTCAATGGAAGGAATATTGAAGATTAAAACAGGATTCTAACTGAGAAAATAAGCTGATTCATTTTTCATCCTTCAAGTTAAGGGGTTTTTGTACGAGGGAGAGTGTTAAAAGTATATAATATAAAATATAAAAGTATTCATTCATCTTCATTTATTGAGTTGACTTAAATTGTTACGTTGCATTGATTCTTTACATATAATTTGTTTTTTCTGGAAATTAAATAAGTAATAGGTGTTGTTGTTCTTTACACTATTACGACGGGGAGATCATGATTCAATATTTGGAGCATGTTAAGAAAGAATAAGAGGGTCAGAGTTACCCTATATTGAAGTTCTTTCTTGGAGGCTTAATTTGGGGGCCCAAACCCTTTATGTTCTTTTAACATAGTTCTAGTATTCTATTAATCCAAGTTCAGGTATTAAGATGTATCAACAAAGTGATTTTATGGTTTTGTTTTGGTACTGCAGCTTGTCTTATCCAAGAACAAATTTAAGAGCGGGAAGCACTGCATCTTATCAAACCCCGTAAGCCCGAGAATATTATTGGCCTGCTTCTTCTTGACTCATCCTCAACCATTTATGGAACCCATAAAATAGTTGTTATCGGATGACAATTTCCCTTGTTGCAAGGAAACATTAAAGAGCGACTATGTTGTGTTGCTCAAGTAGTAGGGTGACAACTTTTAACATGATTTGCTCACACGACCACGAATATGATATGAAAAAAATCATGTTTAAATCAATGTATTTTCAAATTCGTATTAACAAAAATTGATACTAAAAAATTTGTGTTGTGTTATGTAAATAGAAAATTGACCTGCATTAATACTTTTACAAGTTATTTGTGTCATGTCGTGTCATATTTTGTCTCATATAATAAATGAAATATTTTAAGGTTAGCAGGTTATTCATGTCATATTGATCCGCCTAATAAGCGATATATTTTGAGTTTACAGATTATTCATGTTGTATCATATCAACTTATAAAATAAGCGAACGATATTTATATCGAAGGTTTTAATCTGTTTTCAAATCATATCGTATGCTATTGAGTATATTTATATTCATATAAATTTGTATTGTTAGCCCAAATTGTCACCTGGTAGAGGGTTGTTTCAAAATGCTTTGATTGTCTTTGTCAAAGGTTGATAATTTGTTTGTCAAAACCTATTCCATGATTCCACCAATGAGCAATAATTCAATTCTTTCTACCTATTATCCTGTTCCGGATCCACACCTCAGGTCCACCAGTTGGGTCCAATCTCTTAAGCCCATATCTAGAACCTTCTAGAGGGCACCCATGGCAAGCTATAGAGACTCATCACTGGAACATTCCCCTTCCTGCATAGCTTCTTCTGTACACTGACATGAGTAGCTTGTCTTGTCCACAAGACATGGCTTAGGACAACAGAGGGAGGACCAACGGTCTTCCCCAAAAGATGACTCTCCTTTCTAAATACCCCCCTCACACATGTAGGGGGGATCATCTTCTTCCCCACTCTCATATGTTGTCACTCTGCCTCTATGCAGAGCCCTCACACACACTCCCCCTTTGAGAACATACATGGGAAGCTTCACTAGTGGCTTGGTCTCTACCAAGACCACTATGGACACCCCTTATATCAAGATACTTCACCCTCCATGGGACACATCTATGTACACTATCAGTACATATCCTAATAAAATAAATTCAGCCCAAGTATTCAGTGTATTTTTCATCAACTTCTGTTTGTTTTGTTCTTGCCAATTGAACACATGTATACAATTTGATGGGGTTCAATGAGTTACTTGTTGGAATTTTTTTAATAATTATGGGTTTCAATCAATTATAATTTATTTTTTTATAAGAACGAGCTAAGTCATGATCCATATGGAGGAGCAGTATAAAGCCAACTTAATTGAGTGATCCTTTTATTTAGGCTTGTATATCTATAAATTGATTAGTGTGCGTAACAGTATAGACATAACTCATAGGCTCATGATGGGAAGGGGATTAGGGTTAATAAATTTGGCTAGGTCCTCTCTCTGCATTCACAGTATGTTGGACAACCGTCACTCCACAACTTGTCCCATTGATAATTGTGATTAGGAAGTGATGTGAACTGTAAAAGAAGATCTGGTCTTTTCAACCTTACAAGAGCGTCAGAGAAGCAAGAAAGCCTTCAAGAAGCAATAAAGCCTTCAAAAAATCAAAAATCATGTCTTCAAGTAAGTCTAACTCTTTTGATGTTCTAAATTCATATAATCATATTTTGAAATATCTTACATTACTTTCATATGTCTGTCAAATGAAGCTTATGCTTGACTACGAGCAATAGTTTACATAAATAATGCTTATTTTAAAGGGAAATATTTTTCTCATTTCGTTGGAGATAACTCTCTCATGTTATACACTCATTGAATTTTGTGCCAGCTTTTTTCTTTTGTTTTAAAGTGTGGATTCTACATATTTATCTCACACATATGAAAGAACTATCTCAAACAACATGAGATTAATAACTCCTATTTTAAATTTATTTTGCGTTTTCAATACGTGGTGTTTGGTTGTCATGTTTTGAAGAAGACTACAAATTTGTCCACTTTATTAAAGAATATAGTATTAAATTCTAAGAAATGACTTAAATAGTAAATAAAAGTTAAGTAGTTGGTGAGATTTTACAAAATACATATTAAGCGGAAGTGTATTAGTATTTCGATCAATATATATAATTAAATAATACTAAGGCTAGCTTATAGGATTAAAACCTTAATGCTCCACCATCACCATATTCCTCGCATCTTTTGACCATAAAGACAGTGCAAAGTTCGAACTTCTGGAAGCCTCCGGTGGTGGTTTGACCAACTCTCTCTTAATCGGGACCCGACGGCATATCATATTTATTTTTTTGGGATACAATTAGCATTACATCTTATGCCCTATCCATTGATTTGACTATAACAAGGAAAGGTTGACCAACTTTTTCGAGAAGCTGAAGCGAGCAACGCTATCTCAAGGAATTATGAACCTTTAATTTTAATGGAAAAAATAAATAGAGAGAGAATGAATGAAAGAAATACTAATGATTGGTATTATTTATTTGGAGAAAATTAATGTAAAACTAACCCAAATCTTCAGCAACAGTGAGAAATAAGATTTTAAAAGACCGGAAATATTAGATTAAAAAATTATTTATTAAGAGATAAGATTAATATTAATTTATGCCGGTCTAAAAGCAGAAATTTTATACTAAATTTTAGTTACTTATATCTAATAGCTTACATATATAATAAATTAGAGTTATTAAATATAAATAAAATTAATAACTTACTTTGAAAGTATAACTTATACTGGTGTAAAATGGTCATAATTTATTTGTTATTGTTAAAGAAAATATTTTATTAATTTTAATCAAATAAAAATATAATAACTTATTTTAATTCATCATTTTAATTAAAAATTTGTTTTTCTAAGCACTTAATAACAATAACATTAAGTAAACTTTTTTTATAACTTGATTGATCTTATTATTTTGACGAATTTGAATAATATTCAACCATAAATTTCAAGATGATTTATACCCATGTACGTTTGCTTGTGTTTTTTTAAATAAGATATATATAATTTAAAAACATATTTAAAAAAATTTATAATTAATAATTTGGTAAAAAAATTTGAAATATTTAAGAAAACAGTTTAACGCTTTTTCTAAAAGTTAAAATTAAATACTAATTTTTATAAAAAAAAAAAAACTCTAAAAAATTATATCATACAAATATTTTATTTTATTTTCAAAATTTATCCAAATATACTCACAATTCTTATATGATCTAAATCTATAATATTTAATTATTCACTTCTAAATTAGTTGATCATTTTACGTTAAGTGCATTACACTTGTCATCTTCAACACATTTAGGAGTATTAAAAAAAAAAAAATCTCAACGAATTCCTTTGGTCTGAATGTAGTGCCGTCGTATCTCGACGGGTTTCACTTTCAAGTTTCAACGTAACTTTCTTTTCTTGCTATCCAAAAAAAAAAACTTTCAACGTAACTAGGAAATGTTTGAAAACTCCACTTACTCTTGCATTAGCCTCTGGATTTTAATTATTATTGTTTACAGAAGAACCGATATACTAGAATTAATTATGTTTTCTCTTTATTTCTCATGCACGTGTGGTTGCAAACACAGGAAGACATAAAAGTACAAAAAAGAATATAACAAATTATTTCTCACTGATCAGCTTGCGTATAACTGTATTATAATATGTATTAAAAGTAGTATATAGTTATAATATTAATATTAAAATACAACTTTAATATTATAACTATGTATTATCTTTAATACATGATTATAAATTGTTAAAAGTACATAAATTACGTCCTTTAAAAGGACAGATCATTTTCCCTATTGGTATATCCAATTCTTTCTTATTTCATATTGATTAACCATAATTTAATTATTAATATATTAGCAAGATGTACGTATAAATTAGCTAACAAGTTAATAATCTATTATTGGTAAGCTAATAATAGATTATAATTAGTAGAACCGATGGAAAATAATATAACATTTTGGTGAGTGGAAAACATTTTTTAATTATAAAAGTAAATATTACTTATAAAAGCTTTCTCACCAAATGAAAAGACAATTGTGGGATCAAAGGTGAGATTTAAAAGGTAGTCACGCAATAATGTGATACAGATTAGAAGCAAATCATTTATTAGTGATAGGTGGGGAGCGTCCCAGCACCTATATTACCAATTAATTCTCAACATGACATACTAGAGAAAAAAGTAAGGAAAAAGAACTATTAAACCCTTATTTAAAGATATACATAAACAATTAAAAATGACTAGGTACTTCCTCCTTGCTGTGTTCTTTTTCTGGGTCTGGGGCTTTGGCTCCTCGTTTTAATTATTGTTTTAGGGTTCGCTTTTTTCTACGGTCATTGTAGATAAGTTATTTGCAGTAAACTCAATACGACGTCGTTTTGGGCAGAAATATTTTTTGATTGTTTTATATATGAAATGAGTATACCTTCTTTTCTCTTTTGAAATGTTCCGTAGTCTACAATTTTATTATTATACTAAAAACATTTTAAAAAGTTAGTTATTCAAACTCTGGTCACCCTGACTCTAACTTGGCCATGCAGCGGTAATCTGAATGGAAAAAAGACAACCAACATCGTACCACTCTCAATCTATATTACCACTCCAAAAAGTAAAGACAACGAGTCTCATGAGCCAATTGGAAAGCAGCCATCAGCTTAAAAGCTTCCAAAATGAGGTAGCACACAAGTTTGATGTCAAGCAACGTTGAATGAACCCCACCTGACCCTGAACCTGGCCTCCAAGCCCTCAAGTTCTTTGACTCACGTGCATTACTCACCTCATATATTTATTTAATTTGGGTCCCATTAACCACCACATCCTTCAAATTTTAGTGCACTTACAAGTGGCAAAGCATTCATGAAATCTTACCTTCCTATTCCTACCCTTCTCTTCAGTCTTCACTAGCTATATAGTGTTAACAACTTTGAATCATTGTTTTCCCTGCCCTCCTTAGCCTCAACCTCAGCCTCGGCTATATAATAAGCACACCTACCAGAGCTCTAGGCATTCCAACAATTTCCAAACCCTCACAATTTCCACTACTGTTGTTAATTGATTAGTACCCTGGACTAGGAATGGATCATTCCACATTCTTTGTTCCAAACTTTGAATGCCATTCTGAGTGTTGTTCACACACAGTATCTCATAACCAATCCCTTCCCTTCAATGAAAATGACTCGCAGGAAATGCTTCTTTACGAAGTTCTGGCAGAGGCTGGTGAAGCAACAGCAGCAACCAATTCAAGAGTTGAAGCAGAGGTAGTTTCTTCTTACAGAGGGGTTCGAAGGAGGCCATGGGGGAAGTACGCTGCAGAGATAAGAGACTCTACGAGGAACGGTGTGAGGGTTTGGTTAGGAACCTTTGACACTGCTGAGGCTGCTGCTTTGGCTTACGACCAGGCTGCATTAGCAATGCGTGGCTCAATGGCTGTTTTGAATTTCCCTGCTGAGATGGTTCATCAATCTCTTCAAAACATGGACTATGATTTCCAACAAGGGTGCTCTCCGGTTTTGGAATTAAAGAAGAGACACTCCATGAAGAGGAAATCGGAGAGTAAGAAGATGAAAAAGAATCATGAAGAAAATATGGTCGTGTTGGAGGATTTAGGGGCAGAGTATTTGGAAGAGCTTCTTACTTTGTCCCAAGATGCTTGATAGTTGATAGTTTCTTTCTTTTTTGGTCAACTCTTGCTTTTACTCCTTTTTACTTCATTCCACCGCTTTCTTCTTTTTCTCTTTTTTTTTTTTTTTTTTTTTTCGTTTTTAGGGATAAGGTGGGCTAACGCAGTTGGTATGCTCCACGTCTTCAACTGGTGTTTGTGTAAAAGAACTTCTTCAGTCTTTTCCAACTTAGAGGATTTGGTTATTTGTAATATTAAAAATATAAAGTAAGTAATAATAATAAATCGAGATAAGTAATGTAGTACAAATTCAATTATCTATAGCAAGAGATTTTTCTTGCCGTGCATAAGAATTTCTAATTATGTAATTAGGTTTATTTTTTATCTATTTTTTTTTTTTGGTAAGCTATTAACATGAGATAAAGTTGTCCCTGTTAACTTTAAAATTACGTTGTTTTGGAGTTAATGAAATTAATGAAAAGTATTTTAGAAATTTTGATTTGCTTCTTGTTATATGAATTTTAACAGAATATTCTCCATTAATTCGCTAATTTTATTTCAAAATGACATAGTTTTATAGTTAATGGAGAAAGGATTAAACCCTGTCTAATTAATATTATAAATGGTAAGTGGGTTACTACAACAGTTACAGTTTTTTTTTTCCGTTTTTATTGGATGTATATGGTACATAAAAGAAGAGGTAAGATATTTATATTATTATTTTTCTCTATTATCAATTCATTATTATTCTAATTATCGTTGGATCAAATTTTTCAGAATTTTTTTTTTCTTTCTGTTCATCCCACTTTTTGTTAAGTTTGATCCAATGATTAGAGTAGTAATAGATTGATAGTAAAAAAATTAATAGTATGAATATTTTACCTCATAAAAAAAAATTGTTTTAAGCCACTAGATTTGGGCTAGTGATAAAAAACTTTGATAATTTATATTAAATTATATGTTAAATTTTCATTAATATAAAAAAAAAAAAGAATTTGTTTCGTTTGATTTAGATAGCGGTTCAGATGTATTTAAGAATCTCTGGTTTACGAGAAACTTACTGATCATTTTCAACAAAATAAGACAAAAGATTGTTCTGCGAAGTCTTGTTGGCAATTTATTGATCAATTAAATTATATTCAATCAAGAAAAACTTTAGGCTCTTTGTACCATATATATATATATATATATAGGCGTTAGATCAAAAAATATCAATGACTCTGATTTGTAAGCATGTGATACCATTGATATTTTTTAATCTAACGGCTCTCAGACGAGGTGTCAAACTTTAAATTTGACACCCGTGTCAAAGGATCCTACCTCATATATATATGGGTTTTCGTTTTATCCTTTAACATAACACAACAAACTTTCCTACTCTCACAATATTTTGTGGGGCCCACACTTTTTAAAACAAAAAAATAAATAAAAAATTAAGGCACGCAAAACGAATCTCTATAACATTATACAATCACTTTTCCTACAACATAACTCTTATAAAACCCTATATATATATATATGTGTGTCATGAGACCCACGCGTGGGTCGCGGTATAGTACAAATTTTAACTGTTCCATACAAATAAATTTTTAATATTATCATCATACTAAATTTTCGGTACAATGATAATTCAAAATAAAATTATAAATTATGTATTTTAAAAAATATATAATTTCTACGGAAGCCCTTTGTTTAAGCTTTAAAATTCAGTATAAATACTATTGACGCACAAAAGTTCTCTTAACTAGAATGCTGGTTCAAATTGGGGTGTGTATTGAGTCCCTTTAGCCATGAATTAAATAAAAATCAGAGATTGTACCAAAAATAAAAAATCAAATAAAATCAGAGATTGTCCCTTTAGCCATGTATTTAGTCCCTTTATATAACAGTGCCTTTTTTGTGAAAAGATGGAGTTCTCACACTATAAAATGAGATTAATTTCTCTGTGGCTTGGAGAGTAATGGTTTTCACCACTAATCTCAAAATATTTCTTGGATGAATTGAATTCATGACTTCGTTAGTCCCAGGACCTAATCCTTAAGCTACATTTTGCTTACCAACTGAAATGCAACTTGCGGTTCACAACAATTCCTTTTAAATAGACATTTTGCTATAATATTTGTCTTCAGCCAGAATTTCGGGTCAAACAATTCCCAGTCTTCGTGTATGTCAAGAAAACAAACTGGCCTATTTACGCAATTGCAAGTTACAACCGGACTTGCCATTCTGCATATTTCAAAACTATAGGAGATTTGTGTATTCTCATTTCTCAGTATGCAGCAGGAGGCCTGTGAATGTGATAGCTTTTCGATTACACTAGCCTGTTTCAGGTTTTGACTCAAAACAACTGATATTATAAGTCTATTCTCATACTTTTCATTTTTCATTCATTTCATCTATTCTTAAATATCCAAATATAGCCTTACTAAAATTTCTATCTTAAATACCACTTTAATGATGGATACCCGAGATCCTAATAATTCTGGTAAAATAAAATAAAAATTAAATAGGGTAAACTAATGAAAGGGCAAAGAAGTATGATTTGACAGATAAAAATAAAATTAAAAGAAAATAAAACACTGAAGGAAAAGACAAGAAGTAAGAACTAAAAGAGAAACTTCCACCACATATTTTGATGCAAAGCTTTGTCTGGAAGGAGAGGTTTGCATTCAATTATTTCACTGATAATTCTAAAACAGTTGCTAGATATTTTTGTTGAAACTTTAAGTGGACCCTCTACTCCATAAATACACATAGTTTTATCATTTTTTTTAAGTACATGATAACAAATATATATATATATATATATATATATATATATATATATATATAGGGCTTATCATTTCTCAAGCTGCCAGAGATAAAATTATCTCCGGTTACTAAATTATAATCGTACAAAGTTAGATCAATGGTGATAAAGGAAGAGAAAAAAAAGAATGATAATCATTCAAAGATGAATCAATTAATATAAGGAAATAAATAAACAAAACGACGTAGTTTTTGGGTAGCCGGAGATAAACTTATCTCAAGTTCCCGGAGAAATATTTTTCCCATATATATATATATATATATAGGGATATTATATGTTATTTTACCTATCTTTTTTCATACATATCTTATATATCATTCTCTAACATCTTTAAATCAGAATCGTGAGAGGAGAGATAAATGATAAAGATTAATTGAGATTCTGATCTAATAATATTAGAGAATGGTATGTAAGGCAGGCATGGAAAAAAGATGAGTAGAATAACTCATTCCACATATATATATATATATATATATATATATATATATATATATATGAGAAAAATATTTCTCAAGCTGCTTGAGATATATTTATTTAATGTCACTCGAAAACTACGTCGTTTTGTTTATTTATTTTCTTATATTAATTAATTCACCTTTGAATGGTTATGATTCCTTTTTTTTCTCTCTTCCTTTATGACCATTGATCCATCTTTATACGGTTATGATTTAGTTGCCGGATATAAAATTATTTCCGGCAGCTTGAGAAATGATAAGCCCTATATATATATATATAGGACAGGTTATATTTACAAACTTTTTTGTTTACAAACTCTTACAAACTACACTTTCTTCTCCCGGGAGAACACTAGTCACACTATCTTTTTCCCGAAAAACATAGTGCAATTTGCAAAAATTTATAAAAAAAATTTGTAAACGGATCCTTCCCCTATTTATATATATAAGAAATTAATAAAAATAGTATAAAAAATTATATAGTAATGTCGAACTGGGCTCAAGTAAGTAGACTAAAAAAATTCATAATTGAAGCAAACTTATCAAAATTGAATTTTAAGAACATTACAAAACAAATAAAATCAATTATTTCTGGTTTTGTTTAGTTGAATTTGAGTTTCCCAAACTACTTATACAGTGATTCATTTCTTTTAGCTTTCAGCTCAAGCTCGATTTTGTTTAATAAAAGTTGATTAATTCAGGTAGATTTTGATTATCATTCATGAAATCAAACCAATTCAACTAAAATAAACGCACACAATTGCATATGTATTTTTTTTATGATTTTTAAAGTAATTAATGATTATGTTTTAATTTGTTCTTGTTTTATACAATTTTTTAGACTAGTTCGCTGTTGCTCTAGCCTTTAGTCATGGAAAAAATATAGTAAAATTGTTTATGATTTGTTTAAGTTAGGCTAAAAAACTGATTGACTTGTACCAAATTAAACTACTTGAGATCAGTTTGGCTCCACCTCAATTCTCTAATTAAAACTAATTTAACTAATTCAGTTAGGGTTTTAAAAAAAATTGAATGATTTCGAACCATAAACATTCCCGATATTAACGAAACTAATTGAGATTAGTTTGGTTCACGTCAATTCTTCAATCAAAACAAATTTAACTAATTTGGTTAGCTTTTTGTTTTTTAATTGAATGAATTTGAACCATAAACATTCCTGATATAACTGCATGACTAGTCTAGTTTAGGTTTAGGTTTAGTAAATGTATAAACAGCAATATTAAAAGTTTAAAATGATAGTAAAATTTTGATTTGTATATATAGGCAACTTATTTAACTTTTCAATTTTTTAATTTTCAATAATAAACACTATTTATTTATCCTTTTATATTTAAAAAATGAGGTATCAAGCAGCTTAGCCTTTGTTAATTACTGTTCATCGAATTTCTGAGATGAATTAATATAAACATATGATTAATGCTATAAAATTTTCTCAGTTAGATGTAAATTTAAAATATAATAAAAAATTATCATTTTTATCGTTTAGCACAATGTTATAAAAACCAGACCGACTCGACAAAGTCGACCCAATACCCGGTGAACCGGTTATGTAACCGGTTCGATTTTCATATTGAACCGGCCATGTTACAGAATCGGTGTGACCCGGTATGACCCGGCCGGTTTTCCTAAAGATCGGTAACGCGGTCGATTCAACCGGTGACCCGGCCCGGTCTATAAAAAAAAAACTAATTTATTTTCATAAATTAATGTCTTCTTTTTTTTTTACTCTCAAACACAAATGATTTGTTTTCTTTTGAAATATTTGAGTGATTTGTAGCTTATTAACTTATATAGATTATGTACCTACAACACTAATATTATCTTGATTATGCAATATGCAGGGAATTTTGATTTGATTTATAGTTAGAGATATCGTTTACTGAACCTGAAACACTAGTATCACAAATATTATATGTTTGATTGATCTTTTGTTGGACAATGATGTGTAATTTATTATTTTCATATTAAAATATTTGAAATTTTGGTATATTTTTTTTACAAGTATTTAAGTATATATATAGTTTTTTTAATATAAATTATAGATTTACTTATAGTTACCGTGTCATGCGATTGAACCAGTGATCCATTAATTGAACCAGTAACCCAATACCTCAACTAGATCAATAATCGAACTGAATTTAATAACATTGATTGGTTAAATTACTCAATACATTATCTCTATTCAATTTAAGTCTTCATACGATTTATTGAATTATGAAAAAAATAAAAATAAAAACCAATGCCTTTTCAAAAGGTTCATCTTTTTTTAAAGGGTAAAATGTGTGTCATTTTAAAGGATATAAAGTTGTGTCATTTTAAAAGAGAGAAAAAGATAGATAAAGAAGGAGAGAGAGTTGACAAAAAAAATAAAGGTGTGAGTCCCACTTCTTTGTGAGAGTGAAATGATATAAGTTGTGTCATTTAAAAAGATAAATACTTTTTCCTTTTTTAAAATATAATAAAAAAAGAAGAAGAAAGAAACGATATCTGTCTGGCTGTCAGCTAAGTAAGCCATCCTTTGGCCTAGTCGGTTTTGTGAAGAAAGGAAGTGTCATCACTCATCTCATCATCACAATCAATTATATAACTTTTCCTCTGTCCATAATAAAAGAAACGAACAAACCATTTCTCGAAAGGAATGCGTAAAACTAAACCTGATCCTGAAACGACACCCCTCTGCGACCGAAACGACAGTTACTGGGAACATTTCATCTTATTCTTATGGTGAGTTTCAGCGAGGCATGAAATTTGCTCACTCCTCCTCCTCCTACAGTTTGAGCCTTTGCATCTTCATCTGAGAGAGAGAGAGAGAGACGTTGATTTGGGGAGAAGAAGAAGAAATGGAGCAATCAGTTGTGGATGACATAATCAATCGTCTGCTTGAAGTTCGCATCCGTCCAGGGAAGCAGGTTCAGCTATCGGAGTCAGAGATCCGCCAACTCTGCGTAGTTTCTAGAGAGATTTTCTTACAACAACCTAATTTATTGGACCTCGAAGCACCCATCAAGATTTGTGGTATTCTTTTTTTTCCTTTGCTTTTAACCTATGTTAAGATCTGTAGCATCTTATTTGCTCAAAATCAAACCTAGACCGCTTTTATTACTTCTAAGGTTTCGCTTTAGACATGATCTGAGTTCTTTTTGTCGCTTTTATATATATATATGATCCCGTGTTCTCTTCCCTCCTAGAATACTACAAGATTGGCTTAAGCGTTATACTGTAATCTCCTTCCAAATTTGCAGCCAAAATTGTACTCTTCATCATGTTTGAATGATTATCTGGTTTCCTTTTGTATGTTTACTGATGAGTGTGTTCTGGACTGGATTCGGAGTGAAGTGTTTCTCTTTGTGGAATATAATTTTTTTTGTTGAAGTTTGTCTTTTGTCTTTCCTTGCCCTCGACGAATATATGTATAGCAGTGAGTAATCATATTATGTGAGCTTTGAGGATTTGCATTATTTGTTTTCCGGATTTGATGTTGTGTGATTGTATTGGGTAAAAAGAAATACATGAAGAGTGCCCGGAAAGTAGCTCTCAATTAACATCACTCGTCTTGTAGTAACAATTTATATCATGTTGGTTTAGTTAACTTAAAAGTGAAATATCAAGCCTCGTAAGATAAACTGTTTTGTTAATTAATTTTTGTTATTCCCTCTCTTCTAATGCTTGCAAATTTAATTCCTGTGCATTAATGTGTTTTTTTTTTTGGTGTTCTGGATTCATGGTGGAAAGCCTGAAAAGGTTTAGGGACTAAGATCTTGGCGTCTCTGATTACTAGCGGTATAATTGTTTTTAACATAAAGTCCGATGCATCTCTGTCAAATCTGGCATATGATCCATATAGAGGGCTCCACATAGTGGGATATGACTTTGTTTTTGTTATGTAATCCATGTACTGTATTCCCTCATATTGTTTGTAGTTGTACTGTATAATACTCTATATTGTACAGAGAAGAAAAATATCTTGTTTGTTGAATGATTTCTAGATATCCTTATATTGATGTTTCAGGTGACGTACATGGTCAATATTCTGATCTTTTAAGGCTTTTTGAGTATGGTGGATTACCTCCTGAGGCCAACTACTTGTTTTTGGGGGATTATGTGGATCGAGGGAAGCAGAGTTTAGAAACAATTTGCCTTCTCCTTGCTTATAAAATAAAATATCCCGAGAACTTTTTCCTGTTAAGGGGAAACCATGAGTGCGCTTCTATAAACCGGATATATGGATTTTATGATGAGTGCAAGAGAAGGTTTAATGTAAGGTTATGGAAGACATTTACAGAATGCTTCAATTGCCTGCCAGTAGCAGCCCTTGTTGATGAAAAGATTCTGTGTATGCATGGGGGACTTTCTCCTGACTTGCATAATTTGGATCAGATTAGAAATTTACAGCGACCCTCTGATGTTCCCGACACAGGTTTGCTTTGTGATCTCCTTTGGTCTGACCCAAGCAAAGATGTTCAAGGATGGGGAATGAATGACAGGGGAGTTTCATATACATTTGGTGCTGATAAGGTCTCAGAGTTTCTTCAGAAACATGATCTTGATCTTATTTGTCGTGCTCATCAGGTTAAATTCCTTCCTTAATGTCTTACCAGGTCTTCAGGATTGAGTTTGTATACCCATTTCTATGACTAAAATGAGTTTGAAATATATTTCCAGCAATCCTAATGTATCTGTATGCATAATTTCAATTACTTTATTCTATTTGAACTGGGGATTACTTTTTCACCAGTAAATGTGACGCAATGTTATGCATGGAGCCCAAACATCTTCAAATCCCATGCATTGTCTTTGGCATCGATGCTTCATTCTGTACATTGTTTTGTTATTGGACTGGAGGATAGTAGGTTTCGATCAACTATACTATTAAATGTAAATTGTTTTTGTTTTTAATATGTTTTGACCAGGTTGTGGAGGATGGATACGAGTTCTTTGCTAACCGACAGCTCGTAACAATATTTTCAGCACCTAATTATTGTGGGGAGTTTGACAATGCTGGTGCTATGATGAGTGTTGATGAGACATTAATGTGCTCTTTCCAAATATTAAAGCCAGCTGATAAAAAAACAAAGCACAATTTCGGAAGTACAGCCACTGCTAAGCCTGGAAACTCTCCAGCAGGTGTAAAGGTAGGGAGATAATTTAATATTTGCTGGCAAGACATGCACAACATCAGTAGTAATACTTGCTGTTGCAATTCATACACAACATCAGTAGGTACATATCTTTTGATGCATGTGACTTGTGAGAGATATGTCTTTTGATATAAGATCCATCACATAAATGTAAATATTTGTGAATGTCAATATTCATTGTGAATTGGCATTTTCATGCACACTGCCTGGTTTTTGCAACTGGCTGAGAATTGATCTATGACTGTGTTATGGAGGAATTAAATTACAATAAGTGTATGTCATGCATCCTAAAATATGATTTATTGCTTGCTTATTCCTTCAAAAAGTAATACTTGAAATAGGCACTCGATATGATTTCATAAAACTAGGAGAGGAGCTGGTTGTGCTTGAGATTAGATGACTAGCTGGTTGGTGAAGACATTCACAATTTTCTAAGTTATCTCGTAATAATTTTTTTTTCTCATATTCGATTTGGTAGTTTTGTGGGATTTCCATAGGTTCAGCGATTTGTGACATTATTAGGATAATTGGAATGATCTTTGGGGACGTTTGGTAGAAGAGAAATTTTTTTTACTTGGAATCACGATTTCCAGGAATATGGTGGAAAAATGAGTTTCCCGGATATATTATCAAAAAGTTATTTGATAGGTCAAAATATTTCTGGTAAAATTGTTTTGACTTTTGATGCAGAGAGATTACGAGGGTTATTTTTGTCAATTTTTTGTGTTAAATTTTCCCTTGCCATTGGAATCCTAGAATACCACCCCGGTATTTTCAGAAAATTTTACACAAAAAAAACCCTGGAAAAATTAGATTTCCGAAAAAAAATTTAGAAATCTCGTATCAAATGTGGATAAATAGGATTATCACCCTGAATCCTAAAAAACCCTTCTACCAAAGTATCTTATTTCATGTGCTAATCATGGTAGGAAACATTTGAGGAATTGAACTTAGCAGTGTAAAAGATACACAGTAACGAAGCTTTTCAACCAAAGCATGCATCAATGCAACCAAAGCCATCAGATGTATAAATTGTTTCATGTGGTTCCCACCACAATCAGTTACATAATGGTTGCTGTTGCATTCATGTTGCTTTGGGTGTGAAAATTTTATGCTAAATCGCTGAACCATACCATGTACACAGATTATACCCGCAGTGCAGGGATTCGAATCTCACTGGATGCACTCATGACCTGGGAACGCTATAAGATGTGTTAGTGGGGATTAGTCCTACTCACCAAGGGTTTGGAGACACCTCGTGGTAGACCAAAAAAGTAGCTAAACTATAGCAATGTCCTATTATATCACTGCGATTACACCACATCACTTGGCATTACTAGTATCCATGTTTTCTATTTTTCATCGTTCACACTTAATGCATTTAGCAATATATTCTAAGTTTTTCTCCCTCTCCCTGTGCCTTGCAGTCCTTCCTGGGTGCGAAAGTATGAAATTAATATTGGGGAAAAGGTTGCTGCGACTATTGGCTGTCTTGAACTCCTACTGGTTGCAAGAAAAGGAAAGCGTAGTTCCATTTCGTCTACTGTGATATTTCGGAATTGTAAAATCAAAGGGAAACACCATCATGAACTATGTAAACCATTGTTTTTTATTGGTACAAATTTGCATTTCAAGATGGAGAGCCATAAATCTCCTTGTCTTCGTTGTACACGAACAGTTTGTATATTTTCTGAATTGTAAGCTTCTCAAGAGTAGATGGATACATCCGGACCTGTTGCTGGGAACCATTTAAAAATGGTTACGATTGGCATATGGATGGCGGATGAGGTGGTAAAACAGAATATGGTTGAATCTCTTATTTTCTCGTTTTGGTTATCATTTTTTCTTTTAGTGAGGAATCTTGCTTTAATTTGGGATCTCCTACGATTTTACTTGATTTCCTCCGGAAACTTGATTCGAGGCATTGGACGGAAACAAGAAAGCTTCCCACCTGGCAGTAGTTTTGTCATTTGTGATATTGCTTTGTAATAGGATCGCTTGATTTGTCGTTCTCAAGATGTTCTCGCTGTAGAACTGAGGGGCTGAAGGAGTAATTAGACCACACAGTAACTGAAGAAAAATGGGCTTTGACGCTGACTAAAGTTTATTGTTCCCGTGGCTTAGACGCAGTTTTTATCCAGCTTCTGCGTACCTTAAGTTAAGCTTTGTTACCACTAGCAGGGGTTCTTGCATGTTAACATTCGGTAATGCTGCCCGCTGGTTATTCCACTATATATGATTAACTATGTGTTTGTCATTTTTAACTTGGGTGGTTCCACTGTGAAGCATATGAAGACACTGTCCATTTTTTCTTTCTCTTTTCCTGTGCAATGGAATTTATGTAAAATTGTGAGTATAACATGAGATATCATATTTTTTGTTGCATAAGAAAATATAATCCCTTTTAACTATTAAACAAAAGAACGGCGGAGTAATAGTTTCTGGAAATCATTTCGTGTTAAGTAACATCTTTAAATATAATCGGTCACAATTCAGAAGAGAAGAAAATAGGGAACTGGTTTACGTGTTGTCACTCGATGGGGCAACCTGTCTCATCAGTTAAATGGACGGGCAGGTTGAATTTTTCAATTCATCTTAAAAGTGGGGTGGAGCGGACTCATTTTCTGCCAGGCATAGACGGACTGAAGCGAGTCAGTGTAAAATAGGTTCGGACTGACGGGCTAACTCGCCAAACGAGACAGGGCGGACCGAATTTTTCAGTCCACTTTCAAAAGCAGAATAAATTAACTCATTTTTTTATAGGTAAAACGAGCCAAGCTAGGCCGCCCACTTTATCACCTCTACGTGCGTTGGTTAAACGAAAATTACATATACGGATATGCATCAAGCCCAGTCCTATAAACTGACTTTAGATAGCGCATAAATGATAATAAAATACTTAAAAGATTTCTAGCATGCCAAACAATGATTGTTACAATGAGAATTTATAATCTGTCTATTAACTTCTGTCAACTTCAACTAAATTATATCCAAGTGATATCCCACTACGTCAGCAGACTTAAACTTCTCTGAAAGGTTATCATTACTTGCTTTAAAGAAAAAACTTGTGGCCACCTAAGAGACAACTGGCAAACGGATCTTAATTGTAAACGTAGTTATCTGCCGACCCTCTAAACGAAATCATTGCAATAGCACACAAAACAGTCTGAGTAGTACTGGTAATTAACATAATCAATTAGTGATGATCAAAAGCCTGAGATAAGTGTCCTTCATTGCATCGTCCACGATAGCACATTGACAACGAGACTAACTTCAGGGGCACACATTAGGCCACGTTCAGAGCCAAAACTCTCATGAAAGTGACCCTCATTAGTCTTAATCTTATTTTCCAAACTACTTATACTCTTTGATGTTTATTATCTGATAATTCTCCATAATTGAATTCTGAGGGACCCTCCCTAGCGGACCATTCAAGATGGAGCTGATTTTGTGTGCTCCAGACCAAACAAAAAAAATTGATGGGGCAGAGGTGAGAGAAAAAAAAAAAAGTTAAAAAGAGAGAAAAAAAAATTAATTCACATGTTAATTTCTTAATAAAAAAATTATGATAGTCCTGAATCATATTAAATTTTTTTTTTCAAAATGGTCTAAGATCAGTTTTAATTATCTACTCACCTCGGTTGAATAACCGATTAGAAAAATATTATGTGTAGTTGTTTACTGAAAAGATCACTCTGGAAGCTATTGTAGAGGTAATGTCACGTGGATAGGACCGCGCTTAGCAGTTGGGATATTAGTGGGCTTATCATTCGATATACTTTTGTACATTTATTTTTATAAAGTCATTCCATTTGCTAATAGTAAATTAAACTAACTAGAAGTTGGAATCTTTCTCAGCAACCCAAAATAAAAAATTGTAATCTTTCTGGGACATCAGGAAAGTTAGATAATTTGTTCACAGAGATTATGATATTATTATTATTATTATTATTTTTATATTACATCTCGAATACTAACGATGAATAGTTAAGATGTTTTGTTAGGCTTTTTGGGAGTTTAGAGGGGGTAAAGGAAATCCAAGGAGGAGAAGAAAGAGAAAAAAAATGAAGAACTCTCTTATTTAAGAGTTAAAAAATACGGTAAGGAAGAAAAATGATAGGTTAAGAAAATATTTTTATCATTTTATCATTTTTTAAAAAATTAATATAAATATTATATTTTACAAATGAAATTAAATTTAAAATTTTTAAAAAAATTAATTATGTACTTTTCACGATACTAAAAAATATTATATTTTAAACAAAAAAAATTCGTTACAAATGACAAAAATTTTGTTAAAAAATACTTTTTGAACATAATTTTTCCATCGAAAAACACTTGGCCGAAAGGTAAAAAAAATTTATCCGTCAAAATTCTTACTTTTCCATAGAAAAATAAAGCATTAACATAATATTTATTTAATTAATTCCGTCTCAAATTTTCACGCGGATTGATCACATTATTTTTTTAAAAAAATTTATGAAAAAAATACGTTGAAAATTTTTGATTGAAAAATAAATTTCGTAGAAAATTTTCACTCAGATGGTAATATGGGGTAAGGTTTCACGCAAATTGATGGCATATTCTTTTTTTAAAATTTTGGTAGGACATTTTCAACGGAAAAAAAATTCCGTTTAAAATTTTTGATGGAAAAAGATTTCGTTAAAAATTTTCACGCAGATTGATTGTGGATTGGTTTTGCCTTTTTTTTTTCAAAATTTTCGACGGAAAAATATTCTCTCTATTTTTTATAAAATATCACCTTCATAAAAAAATTCTATTACTATTTTTGGCAAAATAAATTTTATCCGTATTTGAGACTTTTCTATTAATATCTCATTTAAAAATAATTCACAATTATATAATTTTCTCATTTTTAATGCTTATGGCAGATAAATAATTTCTAATATTTTGTCTCTCAAATTTCCCAAATTAGGGGAAGTTTAATTTTAAGGATGAGAAGAATTTTGGAAATACAAAAATGTCCAATTCTCTTTCTCTATTTTTTTAAGCTCACAAAATAAAGAAAAGATATAAGTAAAATATTCTTCTTCCTTTCCTTCTCCTCTAAATAATGGCTCCCAAACAAAGCGTTAAGTGTTGCTTTTTGTTGAGTCTCTTAGGGTGCGTTTGATATAGGAGATATTTTTTCTTATCGGAAAAAAAGATTTGGGGAAATAAGGTGAGAAATATTTTTTCCCGGATAAGTTTAAAAAAAATGTTTGGTAAGTCAAAATTTTACTAAAAAAATTAGGTTAATTTTATTGATGTTATATTTGATTGGTAGTAAAATATTGATGGAAATCTGAACCAAAATTACTCATTATTTTGACACATATTATTGTCTAGGACATTTATCAAATGAAAACATGTTTTCCGGTGTGGCAAAAAAATAATCCCATGGATAATGTGGAATTTTTTTTTTGCCAATATATAATTCAAAACCAGATTGATGGAAACAAATTATACCAGAATTTTTCTTTTCTTTTTAATCGTATCAAATATGATAAACAAATTTTTTTCACCCCACTTTCTCATGACTTCACCAAAATCTATATACCAAACAGTCCCTTAAGCAACAATTATCATGCTTATCTCAAAGATTGAAGTCAGAATTTTATTAGAAAATAAAATGTAAAACCTCATTTCTAATAACACTGCAGTGCAGAATAAGAAATGGATCATTTTATAAATTTTAAGCGCACACTAAAAGTCACAGTAATTGTAGGGTTCACTAAAAGTCACAGAATTTTATTATAAAAAAACAAAAAAACACGAGGTTAAAAAAAAAGTAGTCAAACTCTGATTCTGCCGTGGCCTCCATTTTCTATTACAGTTAGGTTTGGGTCATTGTGGAGTAGGGACTACGGACGGGTTCCTTTAAATTTGAAATTAGAACGCTTTCCCAATAGCGGGGCAGCACTGCCACTGAGCAATCCACGTGATAAGCCTCAAAACTCAAGATAGCTTATTACACACACACCCTTCCTTTTTCTTTTTCTTTTTTTAGTACTCATTTTAAGTTCTGTTTTGGATGAATTTTTTTCTTTAAAAACTATTTTTTTCAAAAAAAAAAAAAAAAAAACTTTTTACTTTAAGTTTATTTGGATGTTGTTTTTATAAAAAACAGAAATAATATAAAAAGTCAAAAATCTATCTTTTTTTAGAAGCTACAAATTTTAACTTCTACGAAAAACAGAAATCAAAAGTCAAATATTTTTATAAAAATATAAATAACTTTAACTTTTGTTAAAAATACTTTTAAATTAAGAAAGAAATAAAAATCACTTTTTTCTAAATCACGAAACAAACTGGTCAACATAAATACAAAAACACTTCAACTCCTGCACAATAGTTGTAGAGAACCTTGGGATATACCATCTCAAATGCTAACTCAAAGGGTGAGAGTGCCCAAGACTTTATAAAAGCCACATTAGTTGCTCACACAATCAATGTGAGACTATATATCTCAACAATAATATTTGTTAACTGGTCAAGAACTTGAATCCAAACACAACTCGTTGCATTTCATGGGTTAACATGACATAACATCAAAAAATTAGAATTTAAAAATAAATAAGTAAATAAAATGAAAACAGAAACGAAAATGAAAGACCAAGATAAAGAAGACTCCAAAGCAGTGTTTTAAAACCCGGCTCGGATCGGCCGGGTCGACCCGGGACTCGGTGATCCGGTGGGTTCCCCGGTCCGAGCGGGTAGTTGGACCGGTTATGCAGTCAGCCCGGATTGGACCGGTTGACCCGGCCGAAACCCGGCGACCCGGTTGACTCGGGTTAAACCGGTTTTTCCTTTTTTTTTTTTTTTTTTTTGGTAATTTTTTTTTTTTTGTTGATAAGAACTCTTGAATTAAATCATATTCATATTTTATGATGAATATGATTAAAAGTAAGATGAAAATAATAAGGTAGTTTAGATTAGTGTAGTATCGTTTATGTAATTTAGTTGCATCTTATAATGATCTCATGAAGTTAAGTGGTGATAAACACTGATGGTCTCATAATCTCATCTGAACGGTGGACACTTTTTTCTTATAGTGTATATTTCATGCATACTATTTGTTATCATGATTTAATTTATCTGTATCATGTCAAGCACAAAAAGTGCATTTAACTTATATTGCATGGTTTAATCCAATATTAGGATACGGTCTAGAGCTAGAAGCTTAGAAGTATATAATATTTGCTATCATTGAAAACCAATTTATTTCTTGAAGCGCATTGATAGTTTTCTTATATGAATTTTTATTAATATAAGTAATATTTTTATATTTTTAATATGTGAACAGTAAACCGGTTGAACCAGTGACCCAGCGTCCCAGTACCTCGACCGGTTCGATG